AGACCTCAAAAACGCCAAGAAGCTGCCGTTATTTTCTTAACAAGCGCACACTGCTACGCTACTCACTATCCGACACAGATTAGTATAAATCTACAAGCGTTCTACCACGATTGCTGTACTCTGATTGGCTACGCTACTCACTATCTATTCTGTGATAGATGGTGAGTAGCATAGTCAGTAATGTAGCGGTGTGCGCTTGTTAACAAAATGACGGCCTTTTCTTTGCGTTTTCAGTTCGAGGTGTCTGTGAAGAGTGTTTAGGTAAAGTTTTGAACGACTGGTAGATTTATACTAAAGCAATTAGATTATTCGCTCTCGATTTCTATGCGTGATAGTGCGCCCTCGTCAACTATCACGCGATAGAAATCGAGAGCGAATAATCTAATTGCTTAATAGATAGTGAGCAGCGTAGCCAATCAGAGAATGGCATTCGCGATAGAACGCCAGTAGATTTATACTATAAAACTTAAGTACAAAATCTACTCGCTCTCACGAAATCCGTTCAAGTAATTGCCTCGTTACTCGCTATCTTTTCTTCTGTAGCTTGTAACTAGCTTAGCAGTGAGCGGTTGTTAAGAAAACGGCGGCCGTTCTTTGTGTTTTCAAGTGTTTGTGAAGAAATCGATGGAAATTTCGAGCTGGCTCATAATCTAATTGTTAAATAGAACAAGAGTGGATGGAACTTTAAATGGACACTCTCACTTTTCTCCATTTTTGGTCCGAGCAGTGCTAAAATTATGATCGAGTAGTCCTCCGCTCATTGAAGAAATGCTCCCAGAGAAGCAAGATAAGAATACTAAGTGAATTGTCGAAGGGGGAGAAAACTGTTAGTACAGTGGAATCCCGATTTCTCGAACCCTCAATTTTTCGAACCTCCCGATAACTGGAACTCGAAAAGACGTTCTCCTCACCTCAGTCAAGAATCAATTTTTGTTTCCCTTGGATGCTTGAAAAACCGTGATTCCAATAATTTTTCGCCATTTTTCTGACACAACATCAAAATTTGAGACCTTTTACATGAGAGACCCATTATGGCACTCTTTAATAACACTTAAGTGCAACCAGCTCATTAACAAAGGTTTGCATCAATGAGGTTTTGACTTTTCGAAGTCATGT